CGCCAGGTTAGGTCACCGCTGCCACGTTAAGTCCGCATCGCGATCGGTCAGTCTTTTGACCTCCGCCTTCGTCCGTTGAAGCATCGCGATATTGATTTGGGTGTCAAAGGGCGCGCAGCCGTACAACCCTGCACCGTCGATCTTCTGCGCAACAACCTGTTATTCACGACATGCAGGGTGACTGCAAAGAATGCGGGTATTCGAAAAGCGCAAACGCACACAAGCATAGTTTCCATTCTGTTTTCTTGCATCAACTACTGCTTCTAGCAAGTCAGCGAGTACGCCTACGCCGTCGGACACTAGAACCTCGCCGATCTCTGAATAATCATCATCCCACCACCTACCCCGCGGTCCCCCAGACGGGATCATACAGCCCCGAACCATTGGATCATCCGGTGCTCGTCACCCGCTTGAGCCATAAACAGACTCGCCCTTCCATGAATTGATATCCCATCCTCCATTAGCAGTCCTTCAATCAAGCCAATTTTTCAGCTACCGGTCAGGCTGCCTGCCGATGCAACCCTACCTACGCGTCTGCGGCGTAACCATATCGATATGAGCCAACTGAAATAACTTTGAGAGCGCAGCCAACTAGACTGCTCGTACGCAGCGAGTATACTTCGCAAGCGTGGAGAGCAGCAGGGCGAGAGATGTGACGCAAGTAGGTCTCAAGCAATCCTACGTGCGACAGCAACTTGCCTGATGCGGAAGCATGTTGCGAAGCCTGCGCCTCGTGGGATTCAGCCTCTAGTGGGGCTGCGCGACTCTGCCAGTGACGCATTCCACATACCATGGATAACTCGAATTTGAAATGATACAAAAGTCTCCACATGCACTACAACTGCACATCTGGGAGTAGTTCAAGAAGCATGCGGATCACTCGGTACGCAAACCGCGCCACGACGCCTCGCGACAGCTTCGACGGAGCGCAATTCGTTGCTCGGCATACCGGATGCGATCTAGTAATCCCACGATAACAAGCGGGCTCTCGGTGACCGGTTTTTCGTCACGTGCAGAGCGCGAGATGCCACGGCACGGAGTCAACTCCGGCGCGGCTGTGTGGAAAGCACCATGAGAGGCTGGTGTGAAACGGACAGTGGCACAAGCATCCTTCACGGGTTCAACCGTGTCTTGTCTGTTGCTCTCGTCTGCCATGCTATTCCGGGACCCATACCAGCAGGCAGCCATTCGGCAAGGCCACCAGCTACGCCTGAGCCTTTTTGCATACGATAATTACAAGCGCAGAGTTTGTGTCGCCCCGTCACGCTCTGCGACACGTATCGTTGCTCGCAAAACATACGTTCAGGTTGGCCGTTGAAACGTCCGCGCCACTTAGTCGCGTACAGGGCAGGCGTCGCACTGTCTCGCATACCATACTCGGGTTCGTGCACCGCCCACGAGGATCGTTACGAAAGGTATGCCTCCCTCGACCTTTGTCAGCAAGCGCATGGCTCGCTTGACGTGACTGTTCCGCAAAAGCTGTCTAATACTAGAGCTTTGACACCTGGGCAGGATGTTTTAGCGCCGGTAACTATCGCAAGCCGCTAAGCACTTTGTCCATCCTTTGGGCGGTCCCCAACGGTCGTTCTGTCGGTAATAACGCCCTTCTAACTCCACCGCCGTTGATCTTGGATTCGAGCGATTAAGTTTGATTTGCGAATCGAATATCGTACAACGCTCCGTAGCGTTGACACAGACCCCGATGCCGAAGAATTCCAAGGACCATCGACAAGACAGCCCCAACTAGTACCTGTCGATTCAGCCTTGCGTTCAATTCGCAACTAGTTGCCCAGCGGATTTCACATGTAAACGAACCAACGAATAACGTTCCATTAGCGGCAAAGAGGCGAGTACGAAGCCGCCTAAACGCTTTCAGGATAATGCAGAGAAGAAGGATTGACCGCAACGCTTTCCTAAAGGGGTAAAGTTTCAAAATTCCCGTGCGAGCCCGAAGCAAAGGGTCTCGGCGATTTGTGACACCTCTCGCACTTCGCTGCTGCCCGGAGGACGGGTTGAGACGGTCTTTTACATCCGAGCACGAGACGATTCCTCCGTCACACTGTATTTGCAGCGGAAGTATAGGGTTCCAGGAGCATGATCCTTCCTGTGAAGGGGCCATGCATGGAGAGGATTTGCAATCAAATCAAATCACGTCATATCTTGCTCACGTTACTGTCCTGGTGGACAGTTGTATCTGATACCCCGGATTTCCCACGTTGTATATGTCAGCACCCAATTCTCCAGGGTCAACTCCACCGGCGGTTGCTCGCGCAAGGGCTTACTGATCTGACAACCGTTCGCGCGCTGTAGGGCTGAAGGAGAATTTACCCTCCACGCGGGGTGTAAGAAGTAGGCGTCTGACATGTATTCCACACCGTCTTCGTCGCATTCATCCTCATGCTGCTACACCGTCATCTCGAAAGCAGAAAGACGACGCGTCGCATCGCGTCATGAGCGCCCTCTCCTCGCCCGTCCGGTGCGGCGGCGGAAGCTTCGGAAACCCGTGCCCACGATGCCATCCTTGTCCAGACCTTCAGATTGACAAAGAGCGCACGCGGCCAAACCCCCTGCCCCAGCTTCCGCGAACCCCCTATAGCACAACAAACCTGACGACGATATGTCGTGAGTCGGCCCAATGTAAAAACCCGTATCCCGCCTTCGTACTAATCCGTACAGTATTGCGAAGCGGAACAAAGAAATCCGTGTTACCAGTATTCCCGTTTTCTGGTAAATGAGGTGTATCCGTCCAGCGATGCGCCCAGCCCGATGAAAGCGAAAATCCATGTGCCGTTGAGCCCTGCAGCGTCCGGCATTTTCCATTCGACAGGTATTCGTGCGCATCACTTCCACGATCATGTTGGTGAGTCGAGTCAGGTACTCTTGAGGTGAGGGAGAGCCGAGCCAGACCAAGACAGAAGAACCAGATCCTAGCCACGGTCACCCATGCATCGCGACATTCGCCCCGAATACACAGTTCTCGCACCGATTAAACCACCACCAAGCACCAACTGCCAACGTAGTCCTTCGCACACCGTTCAGAAAGTCCGGCAGATGATTGTTGGTCCTTTTCCCTTTTTTCCACACCGGACGCGTAACAGGTTGAGTACCGAGCGCTGGTGGGCGGCTAGGTCGATCACACGCCCAGTGCATGCCACCTGTTTACTAAGTTTCTGGTCTGCCCCATCTAAGATGGGAATAGAACCGTTGGGCTGAATTTAACGATGATTACGATTCAACCTCAGATTTGGTTTCGATGACAGCGGGCGATTGTAGGGCTGAAAATGAGGGACTCGAGCATGGCGATCGATACAGTATTGCGCGCCCCCCTTCGTGTGGGGGCTGGGCTGCGAAAGGGGGTGGGGAGCAAGCGAACCGACCAACTGGAGAGTTTCTGGGGGAGATTTGTGGTGTTTTTGGCTGGATTCGGAGACTTTTCCTTACTGTTGGTAAATTGGCAGGTGCGTGGCGGTTAGGGAAGTTGGGTGCTAGCTTGACTACACCGTCTGTATGCGGTTGTCGCGTGAAGATCTGTGTGTATTATAGTTTTGTTGGAGGTGAGTTGGGGTAAAGTGTCGCATTGTTGTTTTGGGTCAAAGGGGAATGGTGCGCTCTAACGGCGATTGAAGGTTTGATCGAATCCGGGTTGACGTTTTCGCTTGTCGGCTCGCTTCAGTTGTCCCCTTCGTTTACCCTGGGACGACTGATCACGATCGCGTCTTGCTGAATCATGCTTCACTTATTCTAACGTTGTTCGTGGATGGAGCGCATGGTCTGCTTGTTCCAAAGTATGGTTTGAAGGGTAATTACGATGCGTTGGTCGAGTGCGACTCGTGGATTCAATGCGCCAGAGCTACCCAACGCCCAACGTCGCCTCACAGTTTGACAGCAAACTATCGAAGGTTACAACCTAGATTTCCGCTCCGGTAAATCTACCGACAGTCTAATGCTTCTGTCTCTTCTCTGACAGGAGGTCCATCATGTAGGCCAAGGTAATTCCTGGCTGCCCACTTGCTTGTTTCGTGTTGGCTATCAAGCTGGACAGCCAAAGGCTATACATCAATGCTTGTGTATGTTAAGGCATCCCGGGAACCACAACAAGTGGCGCATTTAGGTCTCAGAGACACGTAGAACACAATCAGCACCAGGAGGACCCCTCTACGTGGCCCCATTCCCCAACCAAACTTACTTTCCATCTCAACAGCACAACGAGCGATCTTTACAGTCCAAGCATACACTCATTCTCTTCCCAAATCCTCCATAGTATCTCATATAGTGAAGCGACAAACTGCCACACCGAAAACCACAGACCAAATCTCCGGACTCGACCCTCTTGTCGGGACTCACGCAACAATGCACGCAAGTTCAACCCCATGCCACCTGATTGGCTCGATCACCTACCTTTTTAACCAACACATTAGCCATCGTTCCTTTCCACGTGTGTCACCCGCAACGTAGAACATGACGAATGTCGTGGGCGGAAAGATCATGGTTTGTGGACCCTTACGCCCCAGCGTCTATGCAGCCACAATGGGGCTAGCTGCGCCTTGGACGTAGCGTACAGCCCTGAAGGTGTTTTTGAGATCAGCGTAATGAGCCCCATGGTACAGCCATGGAGTGAATGTAGAATGCAGGCGATGCATGTCGAGAGGGCGACGATAATTGATGCCCGGTGGGGTCTTTTGTCGTTCAAAAGTGGATCGAAGAAATGTAGTGACCGATCAACGCACTTACGTGGATGATGGCCAACTGGGATGGCGTCGCCTGTACTTGAGAACATGGATTTTCTTGGTGGCCTGAAATAGTCACCAGTACCCCTCACACAAGGAAGAGGTTGAGTAGGTCTGCAGCATACACCAAGATGAAAACATGCAAAATACATAACTTAACGTCAATGTAGGCTCTAAGAAGCGTTGAATTCATGGTGTAGCACTCAATCAGGAGCAGAAATGGCTCTTAGAACATACGATGCATTTGGTGTGAGGTCAGCCATAATAGAGAGACTATGACAATCGTACCCTCTTCTCTACTACAGCCTCCCAATCCTTCTTCGTGAATGGGACATACCGATCACTACCCTCCGGTAGCCAGTACAGCCTATCCTCTCCAGTGATCTTATCCGGGTCAACACCTTCCTTCTTCAATCTACCCTTTTGAATCTTTAAAGTACCCGTATACTCTAATGCAGGCGTCACTCTTAGAAACAGCGGCACTGCATAACTCGGTAAGACCGCTTTCGCGTGCTTTGCCAGAGCTTCGAAGTCGAATGTTGACTCTGTGACTCCATCTGCCATAACGATAGATGCGGTCCCCGCTCGGCCGTCGTAGCCAGGCACAATGACGCCGTATGCGTTCGTTTCAGCGATCTGTGGGAACTTTCCGAGCATGTCGGCTACCTCGTTTGTCGATACGTTCTCTGACTTCCAACGGAATGTATCGCCTAAACGGTCGACGAAGAAGACGCGGCCGTCGGCGTCTTGTCGCATCATATCTCCAGACTTGAACCATCTGCTATCATCAGCTTGCGATCAACGAGCTTGGAAGGATAACTTACATATCCCCCTTCTCGAACACATCCCTAATTCTCCTATTCTCTGTGGCACCTTCGTTCTTGTAGTAGCCTGGTGAAGTAGCCACCGTCTCCGGTGTTAATCTATGCAGCACTTGGCCCGGCTCGTTCACTCCACATCTGATTGCAAAGCCGTTTGCATCTCTCATGATCTCTTCCGTATCAACATCCATCTTCACCCTCACTTCCTGGTCGCCGAACCGCCAATTCCAGATCAGCCCTCGGAGACCAATGCTATTCGCCGTGAAGGGACCAGCGTTGCGATTGAATGTCGCCCCTAATCCATCGGTAGCCGCATATAATTCGTTGATGATGGGTATGTTGAAACGCTCACGAAAGGGTTCCCAGACGTCAGGGCGCATGCCGTTGCCCCATGCCATCTTTACTTTGTGTTTCCGCTCGAATGCATTCGTCGGGCCGTTGAGTAGATACCTACAGAGCTCGCCGACATACTGAATGATATCCGCATCTGAAGCTGCGACTTCAGGCCAGAAGGTCTTGTGCGAAAACCTCCGGCTCAATACGACTGTACCGCCAGCATGAACCATCGGTGTAACGCAAAGGCCATGCGCAGCCCCGTGATAAAGTGGCATACATGTGTACATTCTGGATGCCGGTTTCAGTTCGAGGTATTTGGCGGCGCTGTAGCCAGTCAAGAGCTCGCGACCAGTGCTCAAAGTCACACCTTTGGGCAGCCCGGTCGTTCCGGAAGTATACAGTAGCGAGCGGAGGGACTCTATAGTAATGTGTTCGCGACGCGAGTCTGGTATAAGAGTCGGGTTCGGTAGCGACGCGAAGAACGAGGGATCGTAGTACTGGATCTTGATGCCGGTCTCCTCGAGATCCGTACGGCATGGCTCGACATTGCTCTTGACATCGGCGTCTGTGATGAGGAATCTGCAGTTGCATAGCTATTGCAGAAGTCAGCCAGTGTCTATCCGCCCAGTTCCAGGAATACTTGCCCTTGCGCAATGCACCAATCCTGTCCCAGTGAGGTTCCAGTTGACGAAGCTCGGAACAGCTCCAATCCCATCGAGAGCAAACCAGAGCATCAGATACTCCGGGCTGTTCCCGCCATCCACAGCAACCACCTCATCAGCTTGTATGCCCAGGTCCTCTATCAACCAATTCCCCACCCTGGTGAATGCATCAAAGAACTCCTTGTATGACCAGGTTTTGCCTTCGAAGATGAGAAATGGATGGTCTGGCTGGTTGCGGACCTGGTCTTCGAAAGCGTGGTACGTGAGAGCACGTTTGCGAGCTCCACGGTCGGCGATGAAGTCAAGGACATCTTGTGTCGGCGAGAGAGCACCGCGTTTACGCCTAAGGTCATGGGCGATATGATATTTCGCGTTGAGGTAGGCTGCTAGGGCTGCTGTGCCTGCTGCTCCGGCGATTATGGGTACTTGAAGATAGTCAACATCCGAGAATACCACGAGAGGATAGAGGTAGATGCTTACATGCCATAGTAAAGACCACTTTCCACTTATCGTCCGGTTCCAGAGGTGTTCATAAAAGATAGAACGACCGATCCGTCTCTTTAACCCCAATCAACCGGGTGTACCAAAGATAATGCGCGAGAACAGGTAATGTGATTCATCGCAAAAGCTTCCTTTCGCAGGGAGTCGGGGAAAGCTAGGTGCACCGAGGTTGTTGTTGTCGCAGAGACGCGACTCAGGGACCGTCGACTTCCCCGCATTCTACCGGGTAGCTTATTTCCGGGCATCCGCTACAGGGAACCCCAGGGCTTTGCTACCATATCATCTGCAGTCTCTTTCTAAGTCGAACAGTCAGACATGTCTTACGATTATTCAATCTAATACTCTGCAGTTTTATGATCTTGAGGATCTCTCTAGACCCGTTGTTGATAACATGCTCTGCGGTTACCGCACAGGAATGTTGTCTAGAGTGTATGAACGCGCCCATCGTCCACGAACAAGAAGGTTAGGGCAATGGGCATTTCTGGAGCTTGTGTCGCATTATGCGGTTGCTGCATACATAGTGGTATATTTGATCAAGTAGGTAGTATAGAAGATGATGTATACTTCTACTCAATTGTTTTTGTAGCATGGAACGTATTGTTACCTCTCCTAATGAGGGGGTCTCACGTCGTTTGATCCTCTTAATCACTATCATACTGCATCTTGCATCGCGCGGCAATATACCGCCGGTTTCTAACTCCCATACAAACAACATATCATCCTGCCCCCTTCATTCCATCTTGTTCATCTCTCCAAGATATCTACTTCCTCTCCTTCCAAGGTTGAAAGCCATTCCCCTACCATAGCGTCTAGCTTCTTTACGTCCTCCCCACCCTCATCAGCCACAATCTTATCGTCTTCAATCTCAAAGTCATGGCACTGAAGCCATGTGGGAAGCTCCTCCGCCCCCTGCATGCGATATATCGTCATCTTTCGGCCGTCCCAAGACTTAGACCGAAGGGTGGTCGAATGCCTCCAGTACCCATATGGTCTCAACACTTTCAAGAGACATACATATACTGTCTCGCAAACGTGTTGTTCTCTAACCCACTCTTGCGTACCAGCCCAGGAACCGCTGTTTGGATCATACAGTGCCGCTTCTGCTTCATCAATAGCTTCAGGTGTGTTCTTCTTATTGCGATCAAAAGTCCAGTGCTGTATCGCTGAGCGGAAATCGTCGTTTGTCCATTCTTTCAGTTTGGGGAATTTTGTTGGGTTCCAGTTCTGAGCGAAATGTTTCGCGCTCTCATGTTCGTCTTCGAGGCTTTTGTCTTGTTGTTTGGGTGATGAAGGAAGGGTACATACGCATCCAGACCGATGGCGTATGTAGCTCTGCTGATAGTACGGAGCTGGCTCAGATCTGGTAGGCTGACCTGTTGTAGCTGGGGCAGTGGCTGCTCTTTTGTGGTGTGCATAAAGCTGCTCATGGTATGACTTGGCCGTGAATCGAGCTCGAAGGGCCGTCATCTCATCGGATTGTTGTTTGTTCTCTGAAGGCATCGTTTGGTATAACTTCTTTGCACTGTGTTGACGGGTAACTTGTAGATCTTTTGCTTTGGGGTTGAAGTGTTAAATGTTGATGTGTGACTTCCAACATTTGAGGACGCGCTTTATATATGCGCAGCTTTGCTTCTGTGGTGCTCAAATGGTTCACTTACTTTTCTGGTCGTCTGGACTCTGGATATGTGCGGTAGCGAACCATGGTCGAAGTCCTGAGGCTATGCGAGCACTCAAATCAGACCCGCTCCAACTCGGTCAGAGCCATGAGTGTTATTTCAGCATTCATTCAACTGGTGGCTCGACTTCTACACTAATGATAAACGTAATTCAGACACGCCTCACATTTGTCATCCAAGTCCGCCGCCTCACCGCAGAACAATCGACCGTGGCTCAGAATAATCCTCTGCCTCAGGGTACCACTCTTTCGATTGCTGTCACCACGTTAGCGATCTCGTCACTCTCCCTTTTCCCACCGTCTTTGTACTTACTTCCTTCGTCACCTCGGATTTTACCCTCTTAATCACCACCAGTCCAACCCTCACATACTCGCCCCGCTCTTTATCCGTACTAACAACTGCCACACCCAAAGCCGGTGCAACGATCAAAACCTCACAAGCCTCACATATCTCAATGTCAAAGACAATGCGCGCATCATGGTAGCTTTGATCGCGCATCTGCACCCTACACGACCGATGCGGACTTTTCCCTGTCGCTGCATCTTTCCCGATAGCAGTAACGTCGGTCACTGGACCACTGATCCTCGCCCACCCATCTTTCAACTCACCAAGCGGATTTAGTCCTTTAGGCACGACTCTGCATTCTTCAAGAAAGGCACAGAAGCCTCGCAGCGAGGTATTCATACCTATAGTAAGATCACCTAACCCGTAATCCACAGGCCCTTGCCCAGACATGAACGACCAAGACGGCGCTGTCCAAACATCCGACCGTTTAAAAGGCGCAACATCATGCCTAGGTACCCACAGGAGCCACTTGGCGAAATTCCGCTTCCACAGTCCCGCGGCGCAGACATCGCCAGTCATACGCTGTAAGACCGTCATGACGCCTGAGATGGCGGGGAATTTGTCTTTGGGGTATGTTATCCCGCGGGCGGTGTAGTCGCGGACGAGTTGGAACCATGCGTCTAGGCCGATGGCGGCACCGATGGGGAGGTTGATGCTGTAGACTACGGCGTCGAGGGTGTAGAGGTGCGTCCAGCCTCGCCTTTGCTCTTCGTGCGAGATGCCGTCGGGACAGCGCCAGAACATGTTGGCGCTGCCAAAATGGAGGGAGCGGGATGGTAGGAGTTGTTCTTGGAGGACCCAGGCTCGTGTTTCGAGGGGATCGCTTGGTAGTGCCTGGGTTATGTTAGTCATGAGTCGACGGTGTCTCGGGGGTGGGAGCTTACGTAGTTGCGTGTCTGTTGGGCAACGAGATATACTTCTAGTTCCCCTTCGCTATCGTGGATCTCAATAAGTTCAGTCATTGGCATCTTCCGTGGTCCTAGGAAGCCTGCTCCGCAATGTGAAGCGTTGGATGCAGCGATGTTGATGTATGATCTGGAGTAGATGTCGGCCATGACAGCCGATTCTTTTTCCCAGTCTGCTGTGTCATCTTGTACTAAGAGCGAAGATGCAAGTGTCAGCATATGTACTGCATACAGAAGAGTCGATTCATACCAATTGCCAAGCAGTCAATCCATATATACTGTAGACCAAGAGACCGCACAACCATAGCAGCATCTTGAAGCGTCTTGGGAAGGTCTCCAAAGCTGATGCTGCTCTTTCGCATAGACATGGTGTCCTTGGTAGTCATGAACGGCAAACCATTCCCCCAGCAATAGCTGAGTGTTGCGTACTTTCCTTTCTGACCGTCGGCAGTCTCAATTAGCTTACAGTTGCTTTCATAAAACAGTTCCGGCCATTCACTCATACGTTCAGCTAGAGTATCTGAATTGGGCATTTCATCGAGATCCAATACTCTCGTAGGCAACAACGAATCTTGCTGAATCGCAGAACATCTCTCATGTCGGGTATTGCACTCGTCATACCAAGCCCTGAATTGCTTCAATGGCGTCGGGTCAAGTGAGTCTTCCAACTTTACCGGCTTGAAGAGATTCGGCGGTGGGGTATCTTGTGTCCCATAAGCTTTTCACACCGGACCAAGAACATGATTGCGTTCTGACATACCAAATCTGTTTCGAAACTCCACAGCAGTAGCTTCATTTATGCCCTTGTCTAGATAGAGATCCAGCTTTGTGCCGTATGTTTCAGATTCGGATAGATGAAGCCACGCTGGAGCGACTTCCACATCTACTTCTTGTGCGACTCGTTTGTAAACCGGCCGTGTTTCCAGATCCCGCATAAGCATGCTGCATATTACACATTCCAAAGCGCTTCTTCTCAATCGCGGTAAGGTAGTTTGGCGTCTGTCGCATATCCATGTTTCGCTGTTGTGACCCCAGGGTATGCCATTGTCGTCGGTCCAAGAGCTCTTTTTCCAGTCTGGAGGGTGATCTCCGCGGACGAGCGCGCGGAAGGGTATGGAGCTACAAGTAATGCAGAGTGACATCATCAGTGTATATAAAATAACTCGGTGGAAATGGCAATGGTGAAATGCGATGTGAGATGTCAAGTGTGATGGGTGGGACGTACCTGCCTGTTTACAGTCAGCCTGCAGGTGCTCTAGCCTCACGTGTCTTAGTACATGGGACTGCTCCCCACAAGCAACTTTGTCTTTCTAGAAACACTCTTCATGGAGTACTGTGACTTCATGCTAAGGCATTGATTTGTCTCATATTTTATCTATCCTGTCATCATCATCCGAATCAATCACCCTCTCATTCCATCCACGACCTAATACCCAACCCCACCCCCCTCAGTCGGCAAATCAAACCACGCGTAATTCCCACCCGTACAAGTCTCCCTCAAATACGCCCACGCCTTGGGCCTCTGCCTCCCCTCTAACCCAGGATCCAGCTTAAGCGCCATCTTATACGCCGCCGTCTGCCCGCTACTATCAACCGGATCAACGTAATCAGGGATATCGCCAAAGTCCTTCTTCTGCAGCCGCTGTTCCCACGTAATGCCGACGGTGCCGCCGTCGACAAAGGCAAAGGGGGTGTTGTCGACGTAGTGCAGTTGGATGCCGAGGCCGTACATGACGGGCGGGAACCATTTGTAGGCGGTGTAGGCGATGAAGTTGGGTACGGAGGAGACGGGGACGACGAGCTTGGAGTGGAAGGGTGGGGTGGGGGTGGCGGAGGTGGCTTTGCCTTTGCCTTTTCCTTCGTACTGGTTTTTGGTCTGGTTGTCGAGGCGGGAGGTGAGTTTCATGAGTGTGATGAGCGTGTTGAGTTCGGGGCAGCCGCCGTAGAGGTACTGGGGATGCTTCTTCAGCGATGAGATATGCTGGCCAACGGGGCCGGTCAGCTGCTTCTCGTAGACGTCTGCTTCCTTGATGTACTGGTTCATACGCCGCAGGATGCTGGGCGACATGGACTCCTTGCGGTTATCGATTTGGAACCGGACGTGGCGGACCATGTGAAAACGGCCCAGGTACGCGAGGCGGTCGAAATAAGTCGATGTATCATAACCGATGGAGAAGGTGTTGGTAGAGTAGAACATGGGAAGTGACTCCTCGCGGACCTGCTTGCTGACGCGGGTGATACCGAGGAGATCGCTGGTCGCGAAGTGATGCTCTGCATTATCATCGTGAAACTGAACGACCTGATCGTCGGTATAGTCGCACAGATGAGGCCTGATGGGTCGGTCTGTATCGAGTGCGAGCGCATAGATGCGCTGACGTAGCTCCACAGAAAGCTCCATGAACTTGTGGAACTTGGGCTTCAACATCTTGCACCTGCCGGTGGTATGACGTTCGGAGTGACACTGGTGACAGAGTTTGCAGTCCATGTTGCGGATACCCTTTTCTGCCATGCAAGTGAGGCAGTGAGTGGGCGTGCGATATCTAGGCAGACGGGGTCGCACCGGAACGTTGGAGGTGATAGTAGGTGGTTTTGTCGCGCGTCTTGCCTTGGGCTTTGATGGTCCTGGAGTGGGATCATTGACTGGTGGAGCTGGCGGAAGGATTGGGTTGAAGGAAGGTACACGGAGAGAAGCCGCAAGATTCTCGTCGTCTTCGTCTCCCAGTGCTCGAATATTGCCTTCAGAACGCGGTGCGCGTAGACGACGACGTGTATAGGCGGTGGATGCCTGGAAGTCACTCGAGCCAGTAACCGATCCCGTCGAAAGAGGAGCGTGGTTCGGATATGCTGCTTCACGAAGAGCGTGCATGTACGAATCGGCTGCACAAGTTAGCTATGAGTCCTCACCAGAAAAATAATGGGATCCTCTTACCTTGGTTCCTCCAGTAAGTCTCCGCTTGCTGACCCATCGATTGCCCTGACTCACTAGACGTCGGCCCACCACCAGTACCAAATCCCGAGCCTGCTTTGATCGCTTTCTGAAAGTCTTCATCGTATCTATAATCGAAGTATTCCTGGCCACAGGTGTCGCACGAATTTTCAAGACTATCAGTCTCGCGGGAAGGCGCCAGACAGCAAGACATGGGCGGCAGAACGAGATTTCCATTGACCACCAGGTCAGTAGGAGGAATCAGTGGAGCCGGAGCTGGTTGCGCGGGTTGGTGAAAAAAGTTCTGCGCGTACACCGCACCACACCCAACGCAGACCCAGTCACCGTCATCCATGGTCCAGTGCTTAGAATCTGGACAGCATTTCGGCGCATCGCCTATGATGGGATGTGGGCGGCCTGCTTTCTCGTTGACCTCGAAGCCCTTTTGAGTTGGGCGAATGTCGGCGCCAGACTCCTTCATGGCCAAAGCTAGGTGTAAGGCCTCGGGGCTGCAATCGTTCGGCCAGAAGTCACTCCAAAAGTTATCGTTCGCTTCGTAGTCGTCGTCGTTCATTGTCGGCGGCTGGTAGCTGGGTGATTGTGTAAAGGTTGAGAAGTGAGAGAGCAGGTTATTTAAGTGACATTCAAAAAAGTGAACGCGGTGAGTGAGCGATTTTATGGGAGCGAGCAAGAGAAGCCTAAGAGTTTCCACTCCACAGACGAGGAAGTGAAAGCGCGCATGTGACCACACTGTGAGGAGTCAGGAGTCCGTTAATCAGATGAATCGGGGAAACGCACATGCATACGACAAATCAATCTTTCTTCATTGGTAGATTTTCCAATCACTGTCTTTACCACTTCTTGCCTCCCTCATCACTAAAGTCACGTCCCTGGCGCTCCTGCTCTAGCCGAGCGTCAAACTCTTGCTGTGCGCGCTGTCTCTCCCTGGCCCTCTCCTCATCACCCGCAACAAACGTATACGAATCTCCCAGCGTAGACCCCTCCCTTTGCTCCCTGCGCTCTGGCTCCGCTCTGCGCGATTGTTGCTGCTGTGGCCTTTGAAGTGGCGCTGCTGCTGCTCCTCCGGTGCGCCTTAGACGATCCCATGACGATTCGCCAGGTCGCGCTTGAGACTGGGATTGTGATTGTTGTGGGTTGTTGACTTCGTCCTGGAAGAGGCCGCCGGTGGGGGAGGCGTCGTCATCGAATGGAAGGGATGAGGGCGGTGCTTGCTGGCGTTGTGGAGCTGGTTGTGATGTGTCGTTTGAGAACGTCTCCCATGTGTCTGATCCCGCGGTTCTGGTACCCCACGATTCGTTTCCAGCGGTCGGGCTCATGTCGTCGCCTCCGTCAGCGTTCCCTTGAGGCTGCTTACCCCAGCTAGCCTGTGGTGACGGGCCACCTCCTGCCTTGTTCCTGACCTGCTCCTGGAACTGTCGTCGCCTATCTTCAATCTCACGTCCTTGTTGTGCGGTCCGTTGCCCTTCAGCGTGTGATGAAGCCTTCAACTCCTGCCCAAACTGCTCCAGCTTCGGATCATTCGAGGTATTCACCGCAGCCAAAGGTTGCGCGAGGAGTTGACCGATGATGTTGCCCATCTGTCCTGCCACCAAAACGTACAAACTGAATCGCCATGTGTGTCGTGCAAACATCGCCATGTTGCCCTTGATCGGACCAAACTTGTTCCGGTCAATATCCTCGACCTTGGGCTGATAAAAGGGATATTTCATCTTATCCATAGTCCTCCACCATTGGTACGTTCCTGCAGCTGCACCGGTGGCGGCGAAATAGCTCTTGGTTTGCTCAAGCTGGTATATGTGATATGCGAGCGCCTGCGCTTCTTCCGGGTTCAATTGACGGCCGACTTTGCGCTCGGCAAATTTGAGGGTAGTTTCGGTCTTGAAGCGGACGGCGCGGTCGGAGAAGCCCATGAATGTGCCTATGATCGGCAAGGGCTGGGGCAGGACGCTCGCGTCGAAGCGAGTGCCATCAGAGGGCGGCGACGCGGAAGCATATGGGACGTTCGAGGAGGGGTACGGGTTATCTGAGAAGCCTTCCGGGGCTGTATTGTCGACGTCCTGGAGCACCATGTTGGTATGTGTGGAATTGGGTCGTGATGGTGTGTGGTCGTAGGGATTGGTGCGTGGTGTGATGAAGAGACATCGGAGCTTAGCTCAAGCGTTGATGACGGCATCGAACGCAACCTCGGGATCAGGGTCCACCTGGCAGCTGCGAACACCTTGACACGATACCATCGCCCAACTAGCGTCTCGCATCGCGACCATAATTGCTTGTCACTTCCATCTACTCCAATTGCTTCACATGAGAAAGATTTGTCACAAGATTCAATACGGTCTATTCCCATGTTCCCCTGACCCAGCGATACTCCCTCGGCAGAAAATGTACGTACTTATACAAAAGATAAAGAAAATGACCACTCCAAGTTCGACCAACTACTGCGAACCCCATATGCTCGCAAGGAAGCAGAAACTAGACTGTGTTGAGTGAGGAAAGTACCCAACTTCGCTTCACAAAACGCCGCGACCCAAAGCCGCCTGCAACGGCCAATTATGATAACCAGAAACACCCTCGAAGGGTACGATGAGAAAAGCGACGGGCCAAAGACTTGGTCCACCGTTGCGCGCGATATGTTGTATATACTTTTGCGGACCCAGAGTGTCGTCGACTGATCACATGCCTATAAAATGATGCAGCGACAGCCAGCTGTAGGTTCCTCGTCGTTGTCTCTTCGGCTGCCAGTTTTGCCTGTCTTGGCGTTTTCCTCGTCGTCCACCATTTCCTGTGGCTTGACTGTCATGTGCACCACGTTAGGCGAGTCTGTCTGGAACCGGCAGTCTGTCCGATGTCAGTAGCTGGCCTTGGAGTCTGGAGTGTCTATCGATGCGGGCTGCGCGTCGTGGCTGCATTAACCAATGATCGGCATGTGCCGAGCGATTGGACGAGCCGTGCCAAGAACGTTGACATGATACGATGAGATGGAGGTGCTTACCCTTGAGTGGGGATTTGTCGTCGAGCATGCGACCAAAGTGTATCAGTCGTATTGAGCCTGGCGATGTGGGCCGGGTCTCCCATTCTGTAATGACGAGTTAGCGGTTTGCACGAGGGAGGCTGCAAAGGGAGGCTCTTTGGGCACCATGCAGATCAAGACCGAAGACGTCAACATAGCCACCCCACTGTCGAGCCAAGCTTCTCCCAGCTCTTGCGCCACGTAGAGAAGAGATGCGCATGCGTACCTTCTCGCCAGTCCCGCCATATCAGCTCCTTGAGCGTGTATACGCTGATGTTGTAGGGGTCCATGTTCTCGACATTGACGTTGCGCTTCTTGAGATACTTCTCCTCAATCTTGTAGGGGTGTCTCGAGCCGCTGGTGAGGAGCAGCATTATCACCAGCACGGGGCCATTGGTGTTGTCTGGGTTCGCGGCTGGTGTATCGGTCGACGGCCCAATCGCCTCGGTCTCTGCGCGATTTAACGCAGCAGGCGGTGCGGGTTTCGCAGACGGGGCAGCAGCGACGGGCGCGTCCTCAGAGGCGCTGATTTCGGTCACGTGTGGTGTGGAAGCTGCTATCGCGGCTGGAACGGGCGTCTCTGCGACATGCGTGCTCGTGCTGGCGGGAGCTGGGACGGCGCCCGACGCCTGGAGAGTCCGCATCTCGACGGGGCTGGACGACAGGCCTTCGCTGCTGCTCTGCGGTCGCGACCCTGCGGCGGGCTGTTGTGGAGTGGTTTGCGGTGCCGTAGGGGCTTGGTCCGCTGTAGACGCCATGGTGGTCGGCCGACTGCACTCGCGACGGGCGGCGGCGATGCGAAAGGGGAGCGATTGGACGGGCCAAGCGAGGGGACGACGATGGCACGGCGGGGGGATTCTTCCGGGCAGGCGTCGTCGTTGCAGAGGGCGCGGCAGCGAAAAATAGTTTGGTGTTGAGATGTATCGGGCCTGTGGGCGTGAGAGAGAAGGTCGGGCGACCGTGCGCGATTGGGAAGTCGCCGTCGCCGCCTTGTTATGCCCTTCTCCGCAATCCGCAAACGCGGCAAGAGCGACCCGCCGTCTCCACCCAGAGCCACTACTGAGCCGAGAACACCGCCTCAATACCTGGGCTTATGCCACCCGCCCAATGTTTGCTGGTACCGATAGACGTGTACCAGCAAACTCTTCGCCCGCCGACTTGTGCTTCTCCTGTCACTGCCTACACTGCTAGGCCCGCGACGCGCCAGGATCTGCCTCCCCAAGCGTCTGCCCCTGCATTGCATGCCCATGGCCATTATTGGTCAGCTGAGCTGTTCATGCATCTGCTTTACGCCACATGCACAGCAGTCCGAGTGGACCCGGGGCTCGTTCCGAGACACCCTGGAATGACAGTGGACTGTCCTGTTCAGTATGTCATAAGCACAGTATATGCGTCCTAACGTTTTCACCGTGCCTAGTCAGTTGCCAGAATGCTGTGTCTGTCGAATATCAGATCATTATGACGAAGGATCAACCAGTCACACGCAAACCTAGAATGCAACCTGGAGACATGCACAGCTGTTGGAACAGTTCCCTTCAGCAAGGACACAGCGAATAGCTCTGGACGAGTTAGGTATCAAGGGTCATCGGCCATGAAAAACCAACTTCTTCGTACGAAGGGTCAATAACCATATGCCCTTTGCCGACCTTACATCCAGACTAATGACCCGAGTCCATATTGATTCGTCAGTCATGCCAGTTATGTTCGGTTCCAGTGTCGACCAAGAGAAAAGACATGCAGGTTAGTCAAGCCATGCTGGTGAACGTATCATAATTTCATTCGTGTCCTGGTTCTATGCCAACGCCGGTTATCCATATCGTAAACGGTCCGTAGTATGGCTTGGGCGGATGAAGTTTCGCTACCAATGCATTCAGTATACCCTCCATGTGTTCTGCCCAAGCACCATAAACGCTCTACCAGTTCATCTTCATCTTGTGCTCAATCTCCGTGTGGAAGTCTGGCACTTCACGCAGCTCGTTGCCAGTGAAGACATCCTCCCAGCCAATCTCCGTGTCCCGTCCCTGCAGAATGTCCCGGTGAACGTTGCTGCTTCCACCTAGAGTTGCTGGCCTCCACTCGCCTGCCTCGGCGATCTTGAGCTCCATACCCCTACGCACTGGCTCTGCGATACCGAACTGTCGCCTCAACATCTCCATCTTCAGGCGGTCTTGGGTGTCTCGCCATTGGGTGAGACGGGCCTCGAGAGGGTGGGCGGACTGGAGAGCGACGGGTGCTGTCGACGATGAGGCGGCGCTGGATGCTGTGGTGGTTTGGCCGAGGCGAGAGCGCAGGGTATCGTGCACACCGGGGGCTGAAGGGGCTGAAGTCTCCAGAGCGGTCTGCGTGGAGTGCGCCTTGTGGGGGACGATACGGAGAGACTGGATAAGTGTTAGACCAGGGCACTGTGTACATGGGCGCTGTGGTGCTGATAGCGTACCATCTTGTTGAATGTGACGCTGAGACTTGTGAGGTGAGACTGGTGCGGGCTTTTGAGAGTTTCGACCTCGAATATACGATTTAGTGGGCTAAGGTGGTGTTGATGTTCG